ATAAATAAATATCCACATTTATTATCAAGATCTTCTGATAGTATATATTCACATATTCTTAGAATATCTTGAAAGTTTCAGTCGAACAGAATGTTTCTTCGTTGAGTTGTTGAATTTTTAAGTGGACTCCATTTGGATGACATGTCTGTGGCAAAGAGTTATTTTTGAAAATTCAATATTTTAATTAAAAAAGAAAGCATTCGTTTTTTCAGTTGAAACTTTCAGGATATTCTAAGAACTATTAGACCTATCTATAGACAGAACTTTAGACCAAAACTCCATTATTTGATTTTTGAGAAACTACTTACAAATGAGTCTAAAATCCAGTAAAGCGTGGATATTTCGGTACCAAAGGCTCACACGGATGAACTCTTCTAAGATTTTGATAATCTCAACAAAATATCTTTCTGAGCCCAATCTGATCTCGAACGATCGATATCAGTTGGTGTAGTTCTCTCACGAATAGTAGTAGACTTTCTGTTAAATAGTGATAAAGAAATCTCAGATTGTACACAAACGAAACAAAGATAAATAAAAGAAGATTCTATAGTATAATATCCTCTCACTGCAACTATACAATGCCGATGGAAATTAAATATTCATTTAGTGCTGAGAGTTTGATTAACTCTCAGCGTTAGTGATTAAAATCTTTAAGTATACGATTCCAATGAAAGGAAAACTGTAGCGATTTTTTCTTATGATTGTATAAGAGTTTCTTTGTTCTTTGATATCAATGATAAACAGAATAGAAATGAATTCTAAGATTTTGTGGTATTCTAATCTTAGATATTCATTATGAACGTGTATTCTATAAATTATGATCCCATTAGAGATTAACTAGCGATAATAGTCATAAAAGTCAACATTTAAGATTTAAGTTTTTGATGTTCAAAGTTCAACCTTCGTAGACACAATCATTTTGTTTTTGATCATTATTTTCTCTATAATGTTTTTGCTGCTTTCTTATGTTATAAAACTCCATTAATATCAAAACGATTTGAAAATTTTAGCTGTTACTAATAACCATGGAAAATGCAGATATTGTCATAAAAACTTGAGTTGAACATTAGAAGAAATGAGCCATGTTATCGAGCTTCCATCTCTCTATAAGATCTTCTTACATCATACGTAAATAAGTGCTTTCAGATGGTCTTATCAAGTTCCCTATTTTTTAACATACATGACGAATATTGAAAAATTCTTTATTCTAGGACCAAATCCGCAATGCAATTTTTGGTATTTAGGTGCTCTTCGTTCTGCATATATTATGGCATCATATATTGGTGATGAAGATTTTGCTAATAAATGTGGATATTTATTTATGAATGGTAGTACTTGGATAGATAATAATTTATTTAATGGCGAATATTATGAACAAAAAATAATTGATCCTAAAACTGGTCAATTTATTCCTAGTAACGATCCAAATGTACCTGATTATCAACTTGGTAAAGGTTGTCTTGTCGATCAATTAGTTGGTCAAATGATGTCTCATGTATGTAATTTGGGTTATCTTGCTTCATCAACAAATATAGCAACAGCATGTCGTAGTATATTAAAATATAATTATATTGATACATTTAATGAACATTTTAATAATATGCGTTCATTTGTTATTGGTGATGAAAGTGGACTTTTAATGGCATCATGGCCACGTGGACGTTTACAATTTCCATTTCCATATTTTTCGGAATCAATGACAGGTTTTGAATATACAGCTGCATGTAATATGATATATGAAAATCAAACACAAGAAGGTTTAAAATGTATACAGAGTATTCGAGATCGTTTTGATGGTCTTAAACGAAATCCATTTAGTGAACCAGAATGTGGACATCATTATGGACGATCTATGACTAGTTGGGCAACAGTTTTAGCTTGGTCAGGTTTTCATTATTCAGCTGTGACACGAACAATGGAATTTGGTGATAAAACTGGTGTATTTTTTTGGTCAAATGGTTATTCTTGGGGTTCATGTTTGATTGCTAAAAATAAGATAAAAGCACATTTGACAGTTGTTTATGGTACTGTTGAAATAGAATTTTTTGGAATCAAAGGAAAACCTATGAAAAAATTATTTGAAAGAGTGATATTATCATCGACAAGTGATATAAAAACACTTACCATTGAATTTGATGATTAAATATATTCTTTTTTGTATATATATAATGTAACTTTCATTTATTATACTAAATAAAATAAATCTATATTGACTAACAAAATTGAATAGGATTTTACAAAAGAAATAATGGCAATTATTTCTTTCATATGATGAAACTTAGAAGTTAATGATATAACCACGAGGGAGACTAGAGAAACTCAGCCCTCACTCTCTAAAAACGGTTAACTTTTGCTTGAAATGAGTGCGGGTGTGGGTGTAGATGCAGAGAGAACCAGCATCAACCCACACCCACACCTAAAATCTGATTTTAATCATTTTAGATGAGTAAGATCACTTATAAAATGAACATTTAACATATCTTATATAAGTACACTCATTGATAAACTGTGATATCAATGTTGATATGCAACTAACATTCGTAAAGATCAAGAATATTAATCGATACAATCATCAAACAAATAGTAGTCCATCATGGAAAAACTTTAGATGTTGACGATGAATGATTACATGCACGAATATATATTTTTGGAGAAGTGAATGATTCAGTGCTCGCTGAAGGCCGATTAATTTTTTTGGATATGTTGAATTTAAACAATTCAACAACGTCTTTTTTTGTTTTATACAATACAAAAATACGGATGAAATTATTCATATCGCACAGTCTACGATTGGAGATAAGCTGAGGATGAAACTAATGCTGAAAGCTAATTTTAACATAACATGAAATACATCATTAGTATAGACTATTGATGATATAAAATTAGAGATGACGAAGAATTTCTCCATGATTATAATGACAATGAATAGAAATTGGATGACATGCTGTAACAATCTTAAAAATAGTCATAGTTTGAATTGTATCAGCAAAGATTGGTGGTTTTTTGCAGTATTTCAATTGATCCATTCAGTTATGTTTCCATTCGGCAATTTGAATATTCACCTATGAAAATATTTAATTGGAAAAATAAGATTATATTCTCTTGGAGTTTCTTTGTTGAAGAAACAAGGAAAAAAGTGTATGCTACTGAATGTGGAAAAGACATGATAGAATTTTTATTTTTAATTCGAATCTCACAAAATTCTTCAGAATATAGCTAAAAGTAAACTGAGAAGGATACACGAAATATGATTAAATTGAAGCAAAATCTCAAAACAGAAATGAACGAAGAAAATTTATCCTTTAGAAAACTAACCCATGTGATAAAAACTGCCAAAAAACCGGTGCTTTACCGCGGTTCTACCGATCCGATTATCGGGTTACATTGCTACAATTAACCGCGGTAAACCGTCTGTTTTGACAAATACCGTGGTTTATCGCTAAAAATGATACGATTTTTGCGACATGGAGAGTAACTAAAACTAAGAAAATGGCAAAAATTGGAATGTGATAGTTATAGATAATTTTAAGTAATGTTTTAGTCAATTACAAACATTTCTCGACAAAATCGAATGATTAAGAACAGCAAAATGTTTTTTTACGATCGAAAAGACAATAAACTTCGGTTCGGCTTTCAAACTCGAATAATTTATATCAATCATCCTGATGCATTATATATTGAGTCAACTTGAATAGAAAAACCTAACAATACAGATTTATCCAAGGGGGGAAAAGCTGATTTTCCAATTGTCAGGATGGCTAATAATTGCAATCAGATATTCTCTCATTGAATGTATCCCTGTTACATGTAAACGCATCCATACTTATCAATTATAGACAGAAATCATAACATGAAAATTAAATAATATTCTGGCGTAAATGTTCATTGTAAATGCTAAAAGCCACGGCATATTGAAGTGATTTCTATTTAAAAAAGCACTTTTGAGTGCTTCTAAGACCATTTTTTAGGCTGAACTAATCTGCTTACTCAACAACTGGAATATACTACTGGTTTCAAATTGCTTATGGCTATTAAAGCTATTTTCAGGCGCTTATAAACAGTTTACAACATCAGAAGTGTTAACTATTCTTAAGATTCAATCTAGTTTATTTTTTTGCTAGAACATTTTCCCATCCATCCTTCTTGGAACAATGATTTCGTCAACCTTAACCGCATGACGTAAAAGGTTTTCTTTTCTTTGATAG